TAGTATCAAATGCCATAATAGCACCAATAGAATAGAGTCTACCAGATTCAAAACTAGAATTTGATGTAATTACTCCATTCCAAAATGTATAGTACTCTGAAGCATTTTTGTCAAATTGAGAGCAAAAATACACGGAATATTCAGGGACCGAACCGAACCTCCAATCTTTATAACGACCAAAACCTTTCATCTCATTTGAAGTTACAGAAATTGCACCAGCAACATATTTACCACTATCATTAGATAGCCAATTATATCAGGTGATAAATATCAAGTATGGCAGAGACTATCAACAATTAAAATACTTACCGTGCATTTATGCGAGATAAATCAATCATTACATGAGATTCGTTAATCAATGGAGGAAAAATATATCTATGCAATGCTGCCCTCCTACTCGCTGTTAACTCAACAACAAGATCATAACGCTTTAATCCGATCCTGGCGAAACCAACTTCAAAAGACTCTAATGAACGAGGTGAAGAGTAATCTTTCAAATCGAATAAATCCAAGGAAGAAACAAATGGGAATTGACTGATTACACCATATTTAGAATTATCTACATCTATATTTCATGAATTGTTTAAAAAGTATATATAGGGCATAATGTGATTTTGGCACAAAGATATTAATTAAAGGATGTTTTTATTACAAACGAACTATAATGAACTTTGTTTTCACCTGATCCACTAATGTGCAAATCTTTTTTTGAACAAAAATGCAAAAAACAATAAGGCTATATAATTTCTTTTTTTTTGGGGGGGTTTTTTTTTGATAAACTTTATTAAAAAAATCACGTACGACTTATTCCTGAAATAGAACCATCTACAGTATACCTGCAAACCAATAAACATTAAAAATAATCAAATTTTTAACCATCAAATTATTTAAAAAAAAACTATTTATTAGACCAACCCGGCATCGTGAGTATCAATTCCAACTTTTACTACACCAAATGGTAAACAAGGACCAGGAAACACGTTTCCTAATCAACCATTATGAAACATCCGGTTGAATTTTATCAGAAAATGTTCAACATCAAATATTTAAAGTATATTTAAAGAGAAAATTTCGCTTGACCTACCATCTTGAATACCAATTAAAGGATCAACAAAATTTGTTAGCCATTCACTCTTTTCTTGAATTTGTGGTTTAGCTGGTGATGATAGCGTATAGTCATAAGATGAAAAACTAGATTCTATATCAAAAATTGATATTATATATAATGATACAAGGACCAATGTTGCTACGATTGCATAAATATACACGGATTTAGGGCCTTTTTTTTTAGGCAACATTTTCTTTATATCTCCAGTAATATTAATTTATAAGAATCGACATATAAACCTTTATACAAAAGAAAGAGTGTTTAAAACATTTTCAATGGGTATCTCAAACCATTTATATTGAATTCCCTGTTCGTGGGTACATGTATTACACTATTCCGAATGCAGGAAAAGTACGTACATGCAGTCTTAAACATAAGATGTAAAAACAAAAACGTCGTGATTCCAAATACCTAATAATCGTGTGTCGTACGTGCGTACATATCAGATATCGTACATCTTTGCCAATTATCGTTTAGTACACGTGATATATCAGATCAACATTTATTAGGTCACCAATTTAATGATTTTCCATATTTTGTACAATGATCAAATCTAAACGGCAACAAAAATTAGAACAAAAACAACTTCAATCTCGTCGTACCAAATCGTCATCATTTGCTACTAAAACTCCATTTCGAGATGCTGAAAGAAATTTTAAGTCACGTTTACCACAGCCAGATTTTAGCAAAGTGATTGACTTTGATAATTTAGAAAATTGCCTTGACGAAATTAAAGATAAAGTGATTGAAGTAGAATTAACAGCTGATTTGGGTGAAGAATGCGAAAATTTATTTGGAAAATACCAGGATAGTGCATGCATCGAAAGAAAAAAAGCATATTTATTTAAAGACTTACCAGGTGATTCATTATTTATAAAAAAAAATGATACATCTAGACTTGTTATTCTAAAGATACTAACATATCCCTTTTTACTCATTTTGCTTATTTAGGATTTATATTTATTCCTAATCCATTTACGCCAGATGCACAAAAACATGTAATCAAACGATGTCTAAAAGATTTTACAAAGCATCCAAATATTTCTAATCTTGATACTCA